ATTTAAGGCCTAATCCTGAAAAGCTGATCCAAAAATAATATTTCCAGGAATATTTTTCAAAGAAATTGCCCTTTTTTTTTTTTCCCCCTCAGAGGAAGGTTTCAGTTTTGAATAAACAAACTTGAAAAAAACCCTGAAAAGCTGAATTTTAAAATAAGCTAGGAAAATTTCTACAACCCTTCCATCTGCCTCTCCCAGACCAGATTATTTTTGCCGAGCTTCGTGAGTCGCACAGGATTGCCCGAGACCATTCACAATACAAGAACGCCCTTTGGATGCTGTGATGTGATTGGAAACCTTGGCCATCGTGAACTGCAGCTTTCTCTGTGGTGCTTACTGCCCCTGTTTCTGTTTATGTCGGGGATGTTGTGAGTGAATATTGAACATTAATAGCATATTGTAAAGTAGAGAAATGCTATTTCTCCCATTATTTCCAGGGGAGGAGCTGGGGCACAGCAAAGCTGAGGTTTTACCCGGGGTCACAGAGAGGGGAATGCAGGAGATGAGGCTGAGGCTACTTCTCCAGCCTTTGGTTAGTACCCCAACTGCCCTTTTCTTTAAAAACCCCAAATAATGCAGTTGTAACAGAGTCAGCTCTTCACATACATGTGATAACAGCATACCTATGATAATAGATTTTTGCTTCTGTGGCTAGATCTGTTAGGACCTGGCTTCAAAATAGATTAGTTCCATTTGACTTTGTGTTACATGTTATTTAATTTCTGAGATATCCACCAAGTTCTGTCAAAACCCTGAAACTTAATTTAGAGAGATGTTTTTATCCAAATAGTCAGGAGCAGCATATGAACACTTGGAACAACATGTTATTTTGTTTTATAAAAGATACATTTTGAATGGGATAACTACTAATGAAGATTTATTTTACACAAAGCAATAATAGTATTTATATCCTTCTGGGGAAAATGGAATTTGCAATTTTGCCTAGGTATATCTTATATATAATTATGTTTAGGAAATAGTGCAGATGAGACATTATTTGAAGGGAGGACCCTCACTCCCCCAGAACTCCAGAGTTTTAAGGATTGTCAGTGTAATGACTGAAGATTTTAAGGTTCTTCCTAAACTTTATTATATAAAAATACTGAGTGTAAAAGCTCGATCTGAAAATACAGATTTTTGCCTTAAGAAACAGCTTGATGAAAACAGCTTGGGTTAGACTTTTTCCTTGTTTCTACATTGTATGTGAAGTCTGCTGGAATATTGCATAGGGTTTTGTGAAACTTTAAAAACTTTCACACAAAATCAATCTTCTTTTTCTCTTTCGAAAACTAATACACTGGCCATAACATGGAGCCTCAAGTTAAATGGAAAGCACTGGTTTCAATATAAGTACTGGGTTTTCTGGATAAGCTCATAAAAACGCCACATCTATCACTGTGAAAGCTGGGAGCAGAGGTCTTGCATCATAACATGGGAAACTTCCCATGGTTTCTAAGTGAAGGAACCTACAGTTAGTTTGATTCTGATTTGTATCTGCCACAAGGGCAGCACTAGTTACAATTTACCTTGTGTGTTTGACTTGGCAGAGTTGGACATCCAGCTTTGGCTGTAGACAGTTTCCATGTTCAAGACTTTGTCTAATACAGTCAACGTTCAAGATATATCGGTGCCCACCTGTGGGTCTCCATTTACAGGCTACAGGGTGAGGATATTTGGGGTTTTTTGTTTGTGGCATGCCCTATTCTGCTCACACAGGCCAGGGCATGTTTCCTAGCTCCTGTTCTTCCTAGCGCTGACAAGAATAGAAGTTCAAGTTGCTATTGTATGACACATGCAAAAACTTGTGTGGGTCTGGTGGCCAGTGTTGTCAGAAATGCGTGGTGACTGTAGGGGACTTGAGAACAGAGGGAAATCTGAGTAATATACCTGGGAAAGTCATAGTGAAATCAGAATTAAATAAATGTGCTCTGATCAACACATAGGAATTTAGTGAAGCCATTAAAGTTTGTGTGTACTTGAGTTTCAGGTGTGCAGAAGTGAGGGAGGAACAAGAAGTGTGCGGGTCTGGCGGGAATGAAAACCCTGATGTGCAACGATGTGCTTTACTACAGTACCTAGAAATCAATAAATGTGTGTGACCGCTAGCTTTTAATCCTGCTTTGATAGTGGACTGTCCCTGAAGCAGCATATATGCAGCGATTCAAAACTGCAAATTCATTTGATGCTTTTGGCCAGGAAGTATAACAAGGCAAGGCTCAGTTTTGGACACTCACGGTAATACGTCCGAGTGAGATAATCACTGTGCATGTCTGTCCTTGATTTTCCTTCTCCTTTTGCACAGCTTTCCCCTGTTTTGGGTAGGTGGGAAATGAGAGCATCCAATTGCCATCATTCCTGAGTGTTAAACGCTGCTGGCAAAGCAAATGAGAAATCAGAATTGTCAGCCAAAAAACCAATCGTAGCTCACAGTGAAAAAGAAAATATATGCTCCCCTTTGGCAAATCCAGTCTTTTCACATCTGCTTAAAGTGTTCAAGCAATATGTGGACTTGGCCAAGAAAGGGCCCATAGGGTCTCAGTGACGATTTGCTGCTGAATACCGTAATTTCAAGGAGGCAGCTGCACTTTGTGTTGGAGGTCATGATGACGCAGGGTCATTAGATCTTTCCTTAGCTGAGATCTGTTCAGGAACTTCACTTCTACCCTAGATACACACATCTAAATGGTCTAACTACCATGCTACTACTTCAGAATAGCTTCCTGCCTCCAACCCTGTAGGCACTGGGGGATCTTTCTCCATAAAACAACATTTGCAGATAATAAATAGTTAGTTCTTGTTAATGTTAATAGAGAAGAGGCTAGACAGAAGCCTTCCTTGGAGCTTTTATAGATGAAATTAATTAAATGTTACACTGTTGGAGTTTCCTCTTTTTAAACAAGCAAAATTATTTCTAATGCATTAGACTAATTCAGCCAAGCTTAGGGTTCTTCAGCCAGTAGCCACAAAATAGTATTCACACCTTAAACTGTGTGACCTATGAAGATTTGAGTAGTTTTCTTACCTTTGTTTTTTTATGATAGGAAAAATCAGTGATTGCTTCCCTCACACATCCCGACATCACAGTTTTTATTCTTCGCACCTTAGGGGGGTAGAAGACAGCTCTCTGGTTGAGCATTGAGGGCTTTTGCTTCTTACGAGACTCCAGAGTGCCAAGTGAGGGTGACTGTAGCTCGACAGCAGCGACAAATCACTGCTGTGCAGGCACCAGGCGGTCATTGTGTGTGAAGCACCCTGAATTTCTAGCAACACTAAGTTTTAACAATTTCAGCTACAGACCTGCATTCTGTGTTTCACTTTCTTCTTGAATACTGGGGATAAATGAACCTTTGAGCTGCACCCTGCCACAAGCTTTAAGGTCTGAATGTTCCAGGAAATTTATTCGTTGGTATCTCACTGGGTTTAGAAGTATATGGTGTACTCAAAGAATATTATATACTTCGTATGCTTTGATGTATCTGATGTACTATATCAAAGTATAATGAGGTTGAAAAAAGTTTTGCATATGTCAGTGTTTACAGTTGTTGAAATCTCAGTTAGGTAATGCAAATAACATTTTTCTCCCCCCCGACAGAAAAGAATGTTTTTGTTTTATTTATAGACAACAAATGAAAGTACCTTGAGAGAAGTCCATGCTGGAGGTTCTCTGGCAGCTTCCCTTGTGCTTTTTTATTACTTTGAGAAGGACAGAAAGCACAGGTCAGGTACTGGGAGCTCAGCCTCCAGAATGCCACACAGAATATTGTATAGTTTTTTTTCAAGGGCAGGCAGGAGCTGACAGGGAAGCTGGATCTTTCACAGTCCTTTTCGATGTCTCCAAACTTCACAGAAGAAAGGTGGTTATGTGAGAGCAAGTGTGGGGATTGGTGTCTGTCTGTTCCTTATCTATAAAGGGGAAGCAGTGTTTGGTTGCAATCTTTTGGGAATTAATAAACTAATGTTTGCAAGCTGTTCAAACATGGAGACCCTTTTTATCACTTACTGATTACAGTGGTACAAGAAAAAATTGCTCAATGGTATTATCCAAAAATTTTCTGTGTAACCACATGTGTAACATGATATTTCCTAAGATATTGTTTGTTGCAGCTTCCTGAAGTGTCTAAGTTTAGGCTTCTGCACAGAAGTGCTGTGGTCTGGGGGGGCTGGCATCTCTCTGCATCTTCTGAACATGACAGCAGAGTGTTGGTGGTAGCTTGGTGGGAAACTAGGCGTGAAGCTACTGCAAGATCTCTGTCGTGATGTTGAGATGGGTGGGAAGAAATGCCTAACTCATCCAACCCTTCTGGAGTTTGCTTTGTTAGGTCAGATTTGAGTCCAGTGTGTACATAGCAGCGTAGTCACTAACAGCCAGACCTGTTCTTAATGCCAGAACCAGAACCTGTTCCTAACCAGAACTTAACGCCATTGTAGCATCTCTCTGAAGGGCAGGATTTGCCCCTCGGGGAGCGACCAGAGTTGCCTGTCATTCCTGACACGCGGAGGATGTAGCGAGTGAACGTTTTCTGGATTCCAGCCGGGGTTTCCAGTTACAGTTTTTATATTTGACTGCTTTTGTGGCTGGGAAATTTTACTTTTGCCAGCTGTCAACTTAAGAGCAAGTGGCAGTCTGCTGTCTCCAGCAAATGTGGCCTCTGTGTATATTTTCGGTTTCATGTTTGTTATACTTATGGTAGGTTAAAAATCCTGGCATAGCATCCTTGACCCTTTAGTAAGATATGTAGTGAATCCTTTTTCGTGGTTAGAACATTAAATAACTGTCTTCATGTAAGTACAAATAACAGAAAGTCCCGACCTGTGTAGTCCTCGATCAATATAGGACTGTAGTAACTGAGGAAGTTTCATATTATGGTTTCCACGTAATGATAAAAGGGACTTTTTGTGTGATACAAAGACCAAGTGCAATAAAGGGTGGCGGGAGATGAAAGTAAACAATTATTACAATGCATCTTGTTTTTGTGTCTTGTTTGTTTGTTTTTGGACAGATTGAAAACATAGATGCATGCCTGAGTTTCTTGGCTGCCAAGGGGATTAACATACAGGGGCTGTCAGCAGAAGGTGAGTCAATCGGTTGTTTAAAATTTCATTTTAAATGACCATCCTGAATTACTGCTTGTGATTGTAACCAGGACATGGAGTGTAATGGAAGATTAATATGGATGATTTAAACTTCTTACAGTCTTTACTTCTTTTATCCCCATCTCAGTATGAAAGGTAGGTAAAATAGATATCTAATCTCCCCACAGCTGACTTGGAAAAACCAATCAATAAGACTCAATTAGAATTCAATCACTTCATTGTTTCTTTCTGTTAAAAACCAGAAATTTTTCATCTAAGTTCTGTAGTTGGCATATTGATCAGAGGGTAGATTTTGTAGATACTTAAAGTGAACGGCTGGTTGGTGGTGGTTTGCCTTTTGAGAGAGAAGTTTATTTCCTCATTCTTCAATTATTGTCTTCCCCGAAGAAGTATCCTGCTTTCTTTCCTTTTTTAAAATATTTTTTTTCAAAGTTTGTTTCCAAATGCATGAAACAATAAAATGCAAATCTAAGAAAAACAGCAGATTAGTTGATGAGAAAATTGTCTGGATGTGCAAAGTTGGCAGCCTAGTGTTGTTCCTGCTGGGGAAGGGTCAACATGATGAATGTTCATTGCTCTTCCGCCAAATCACAAGTCAGACTCAGTAGGATATAGGTTATCCCATGGCTTCTGCTGATTTTGTATGTCTTCCTTTCTTTTACACTGTCTAGGAATTAGCATATTAAATCATACAGAAGCTAAAAAGAGACCAGTAACATTTGCTGCCAACATACAGATGAGAACATTTACTGGCTCCATCACTGATATTGATGGAAATGAGTGACAGTTAGGGAGGGGGAAGGGCAGGAACATTTTTTTTTAATAAAGTTAAAAGACTTGAATTCAACGATAAATTCAATTTCTAGTCTTAGTCACTGCTTAACTTTGCTGAGGAAGGAGGGGGAAACTGAACAGGAGAGAACACAGAGTCACTTAAAACGAAGAGTGCCGTAACCAAACAAGCCCGTGTTTCTGCGCAGGTTGCCAAGACCTGCTAGGTCAACTGCAAATCACTTTGTTTACTTCACTGGCAGATCCTCATCTAGGAGGAAGCAGATGATTGTGATTGCTTCCAAATGGGAATAAACATTGACGTCTCTCCTGGGTTTCTTGAGAACACGTATTTTTCAATAGTGCAGTTTTAGTGTGGAGGGAAGTTAATGATTCCAAACTGGAATTTGGATGACTCCTGAATGTTGAAATAATTTGGAACTTCATGTGTTGTATCCTTTCTTTCTTAAAAAATCCTGCTTTGATGTGTGCGTGCCACTTAGTCTTTTTTTTTATGGATTTATGCTGTGAAGACGCTAAGGATCTGCAATCACTGATGATGACCACACTGTGCTAGAGACAGGCCTTCCCCAGCAACGTGGAGCCAAAAAGGCATTGCCTTCTCAAAGATTCTTATATCCTAACCTCTCCCTTTGTAGTTACTAAAGAAAACTAGGGGGGATGCTAGAAAATTCTTTTCCCTTCTTGCTGCAACTCTTTATTCTCCATCACTTTGAGCTGTCTCTCCACACCCATGCTTTTGAACTTGTTTCCGCACCGCGCTGGGTTTTAGACTCCTGGAACTGCAGCTGCCCCGCTAAGCTTGTCCTCCTTCACACAGTATCTCCTCTCTGCCAGGATTGTGAAGGTTATGGAGGACATGAATGTGCAGTAGAAACTCAAATTGATGTTGTAGGCAACAGCTGCACCTCTTCTGGGTAACAGATTACCTGGGTAAGGATCAGCTGAGCAAATCATGAAGCCATAAAGCGATGAAAGAAAACGCCTCCCTAGACTTTGGAACAACCACGATTCAGCTTAGACTTGTGCCTCTGAAATGACATTCACACTTCTGTAGGTACATGAATTTCAGTGTGCACACTCTGCAGCATTGCAATTCATGCATTTTAGGCCCTTTAGTTCCTTTCCAGTGTCAAGGTGGAATTTTTATTTCTGCAGTACAAATATCCTCCAGCGCTATTTTAACCGTACCTGAGTAGGGCACTTGCCATGCTGCCGAATGTTGATGATACCACACTGTATACAGTTATGTAGTCTTCAAAACCCTACTCTTTAATTATCAAAAAATGCCTACAGATCTAGTGTGTGTGGTGGGAATTCATTTCTTCTTGCATTTCCCTGCCTCATTTCTTTGAAATTCTAAAGTATGGTTCATAGTCAGATCACTTTCCTCAGTAGAGTCTCCAGAGTTCATCCCAGAGCTGCTTTGGGTCCCTGAAAGCAGTTTAGAGCCCCCCCAGCCTAGAGCATGTGCTGACTGAGTTTGGGTCTGTCTGTACTTCGTGATGTGTCCTGGAATGACTGTGAAGTATATCTACTTCTCAACATTTTTGTCTTAAATTCAAATGCATTTGTAGTTACTTTGGCCCTTTCTCTCCTCTCCGGTCATTCCCTGTGGACAGAATTTTCTGATTTTTTTTTTTTTTTCATTTTGTTCTGTTCAGCAGACCATCCCGTCTCACTTCTTAAATGAGCTGAGCAGGGCTGATGGGAACTGCATGCAGAATCCCTCAGTGGTCAACCATAAGAGGCTAGTGCAAAGCGACAGCAGCAGACACCCGCTGTCTTTAGGGGGTGAACAGTACATATCTCTGCCAGCCCTATTTTCTGCAGGTTACGGGTTTCTGTGAACTCGCTCTGTTTTTTTCTAGACCCGCACGCTTTACAGAATCAGATACTAAGTAAGCTTTACAGAAGCAGATGCAAACAAGCTTGATTAAATGACATTGATAGACTGTTTTATTTCTTCTTCATCAGTTTGCTTTGATCTGTGTTGTGTACACAATGAGTAGCTTATGATTTGCAGAAATTTAATTTCCAAGTGTTGGAGGAATCACATAATGTCATTTCTCTAGTAATCTCTTCAGCAGATCTTTCTTTTCTTTACCTTTCCTTTGTCCTGAACTGATTTTTTTTTTTCAGTTTCCACCGAGTCTAGTGTATTTGTGTGAAGACAGAGAAGGGTGATGGGCAAGCTGCAGTGGTGGAAGGTCCAGCTGTAGGTGAAACAAGCAGCAGCAGAGATACTCCAGGATGGAAATTTCCAAAGGGTAGATTTGTGGGGATTCTCTGAAAACCAAATTCCAGTTTACTCTTAAATGTCTAGAGTATTTGTTTCAAATATGCAAGACGAGTCATTTTGGGCTCTAAATTTGACATGGGTGGGTGACGTGCTTGCCCTTATCTAAGTCAATGTGCATATTGGAGCTGACGCATGGACTGGAGAGGGCTCGAAGCAGGAAGCAGTTGAGACTGCACCGATGGGCAGAGTGCAGGAGGCTGAAGAACTCTCTGAAATACTCTTTTTGTACAAAGTGCAGGGGCAAACTGCCAGGTGAATTACCTCAGTCTGTCTTTAAGATAAGAGAAACAAAACTACCTCTGAAAGTCCTATTTGAAATACTTTACTTAAAACCCAGAAGGAAAGAGACTGCTTCTTTTGAAACTCATGAGAAGTGTTTTCCTTTTGATTATTTTTTTTGGTCACCTTAGAAAAATGTCAAAAGCAGGTGGTTGTTCTGATAAATACAGCAGTAGATAGTAGAAAGCAACAGGTTTTAGGTGGGGTTATTGCTATAATTGCCTCTCACTTTGCGTTGAAATCAAGTCCTCGTTTCCAACTGCATATAGCTTTGCTAAGTTCAAACACGCAGACCCATGGTAATTTCTTTTATCTTCTGGCCGGTATTTGTGCAGTTTAGCTTCCCAGTGCCCCTGGGTCTGTTTAGTTATGCTTTGGCCTGTGATTAAGTGCCACTTTCCTTACCATTCACATGAGTAATTTGAGTTCTTTGCTGAAGATAAGGAGGTCGTTTTGACTGTGCTTTGCTGTCTTTTGTGTCTGTTTTACTTTATTGTCCTCCCTAGCTAAACACAAGTGGGTTAGAGAAGGAACCTGCCTGGTGGCGCTGGGAGGAGGCTGGCTCTGTGGCATGGCACTGCATGGGAGCAGGGGTGGGCTGGGAAAAGGGGGGGAAGGACTTGCTGGGACCCCACTGTCCAGGAAGAGACTAAAATTGGCTAAGAAAACAAAGGAAGACAGAAAATGGCTGCTCAAGGTCCCTGGGATTGATAATCAGCGATAATCAGGGGCAGTGATGGGAAAGAGCACTGGTGGAGGGGCCAGACTGCAGGGAGGAAAAAATGAGTACGGAAAGGGAAGGAAAGGAATATCCTGGGTCTGGGTGATGACCAGGACCACTTAAGTAAGGTCTAGGAGTCACTGGGGAGATGAACATGGGCCAAAAGAAAATAAAGGAAGAAAGTAAATTAGATTAGTGACTATGAAGTAGATTGAGGTGCAGGTAGACAAGGAGACCAAAGCTGGAAGCTGGTATAGAAAGGGGAGCAAAATCTGTAAGCTGTGAGCCTGAGATTTGCTGGGGAAAGGGCTTGGGGTTAAGAACAGAAGCTTGTTACGCAGCAAAGATGAGCAACGTGAGCAGAAATGTGTCAGAGAGGGAATAAAGGATAGAGCAGGGCCCACTGCAAAGTCAAAGCAACCTTTCAGCCAGACTTGGGATCAGAAATTAAAATTCTGGTTCTCACCTTTGTGCTTGGCCACTGTCTTGCCACATGTCCTTTTCTTCCTTTTAAAAGCATGGGGCATCAGTAACATTTATTAATTCAAGTGGGCTGTATAGTGCATGCAAAAGTTCAGATGTTTGATGTTACTTTTTTAATTCACTTCTTAAATTTAGGAAATTAAACATGATAAATAATTGAGCTGCAGCACATTATTAAGATTGTCTGCGAGAATGAATCAGCTTTCTTGCATATTATGATACAGCTGTTGACGGCATATTCTGGTACATGTCTTTATCTTTGTATTTCTATTTGTTTTTTCATTTTTGTGTTTGATACTGCATAGAAGAACAGGATGACTTTTAGGAGTTGAAATGTTTATTCATTCACTGTTGAGCTACCTTTAGGTACCTTGGGTATCCATTCTTTATTGGCTTGTGACAGTATCAAACTGGTATTTATCTGGTTTAATACAGCTATTTTCCCCAATAATCATATTTGCTAGTGTAAAACTTGCACCGCTTTTTCTTAGTGGAAGCAATGAGCCTGATGTTCCAGAAATGATACAGTACTGTGTGATAACTGAGTAGTTTCTCTTCCTTGTGCAAATTTAGGACTGAGAAATCATTTACAGTGTGCTGCTGCCAAAACACTTGTTGTGGGGTTTTTGTTTTGGTTACTTTAATTCAAAGGAACTCTCTTTTTAAGCTTGCTGGTGTTAACATACAGACCATGGCAGAAATGGAGGACAACGTGCAGCCACCACAGGGGAGAAATTTGTTATTTATTTGTAGTTGGTGCTCACTGGTAATCCGCTGTAATGCCGATGAGATGTGCAGAAAGTCTGTCCTGTCCTAACGGGGCACTTCAAGGAGCGCGGCGGCTGACCCGCGGTCAGGGACTGGTGCCTGACGAGTGACTTGTGAACCTTGCCTTGCAGAAATCAGGAATGGGAATCTAAAGGCCATCTTGGGCCTTTTCTTCAGTTTGTCTCGATACAAGCAACAGCAACAGCAGCCACAGAAACAGCAACCGCAACACCATCCATCCCAGCAGCCTCTCCCAGTATCCCAGCAAGCAGCGCCTCCATCCCAGTGCCAGGTCGGGGTACCACCGCAGCCGGTGCCAGCTTCGCTCCAGACTCCGTGCCAACAGCCCCCGCAAGCCGTGCAGCATCAGTTCAAAGCACAACCAGAAATGCAGTCCAGGTGGGAAAATTTCCTTTAAGGTTTTTTTTTTTTAATTGATTTTTTTTTCCTTCTTGTTAAAAGTCTTCCTTCAAAAGCTGAAGAAACTTCTTTCTTTAGTTCTACTCTAGAATAAAGAGCATGTTGGAAATTGAATGCTGGGTAGCAATTGACTTCACGCCTTTGGAAATCAAAACAGATGAGCTTAAATATGTTCTTGGTGCTGGAAATATGCAGTCCAATGGGTGTGAAATACCTGCTAGACCAAGTAACCACAGGATTTTATAAGGATGTTTTTCTCAGTATTCCTTTTGCTTCTTTCTACTCACAAAACATGTATATCGCTGCCACTACAGAATATATGCTTTGAGCATTGGTGCTCGATGCACTTGGTGAAAACCAACTTTAGTTCTTAGTTTACAAGAATTTGAGTCCTCACGAAGAAGTGGAAGGCTCTGACAGTGGTAAAAGAAACAGAGCTCATCATGGCTGGTGACAGTCAAAATCCAATCTTGGCTTATTAGTCAAAAATAATATGCTGCTGGCTTACATGAAAAATAATTTTCACGGCTGGTGCTTGTTGGCGTGCCTAGATCAGAATATGGAGAAATAGAGGGGGTCTTTGTCCCTTGAATGTTTTCAATCCTGGGGGTGCTCTTTCCAGGGTGGAATAAAAGCAATTTCTGAAGGCAGTACCGCTGTGAATGCATTTGCAGCCTTCTGCTTGTCTGACCCTCCCACTGCTAAGAGCGAGGGTTCAGTGGGTATCAGTGGGAGGATTAAAGGTTGAAGCCATATTTGCATAACCACTAAGGTATGAAGGCTTTTTTCTTAAAATATCTCAAATTAAGTTAAGGCCTATTTGTGTTAAAATAACACACATTAAGGTGAACATTTGCTTAAGTGCTGCTTTATGAGGGATATAAACAGTTTAAGTGAAGCCTTCCAAGTGAGACTACTCAGACCTTATTTGGGTTTTGTTTATGTCTTTCTTCATGAATCATGCTCATTTTGGGTGTAAACAATATTTTTGTATTAATGAAAAACACAGTGTTGCTACAGCACGTATAAACTTGGAAAGGAAATAATTACTCTGAAACAAATATGTGTTTGACCATATTTCTGTGGCTTTTCTGTCAAAAACCTGCAGAGATGCATGGGACCTTTTGAATATTACTTTGATATTTTTAGCCCATTGTGTGGATTGTGCTGGGTTTCAAATAATTTAAAAATATCTAACCTGAAGGTCTTAAATGTCATGTTTTCCTAGTGCATATTAAAGTTAAATTGCTCAGAATCTGCAGAAAATACGTATGGTAAAATATTGAGAAGAAGAGTAATAAAGTTGGGGTTTCCATGCAGCATTGCATGTTCATTACTCTATAAAAATTAATTAATTTCAGATTTTAGGAGTTTTAACTTGAAGACATACTCAGGCAAGAGGCTTTCCCCCCTCCCCCCCCCCCCCCCAGTGAAATTCATAAAAACCCTTTCCTCCCTGAAACTAGTTACTAAGTTCATCAGCTTTAAAAAAAAAAGTTTTTGTTCAATGTTATCTTCCACTTTTTCTTTCCTGTCATACAGTGCATCTCCCAGGGACTCATCTCAAAGCAAAATCATCCGATTCACTCTTGGTCAGAAAAAGTCTTCTAGGTTAGCACTTCTTCATCTTCTGCAAAGCATGAATAATCCTGAACCGTGGAAGTGTTAGAATGGATTCTAATTTTTTCTTTTCTTTATTTTTTTTCTTTTTTTTTTTTTTTTTTTTTTAAAAAGGGGTAAAAATTGCCTTTTGGCCCGCCAGAAGATAATTTAAACATTTTGGCCCGCCAGAAGATAATTTGGTTTTTTTGTTCTTATGAGCTTTTGCTTTTGAGAACAAAACATGGTTCTGGGAGTTCTTTCCTCTCTGTACATATCTGTATTCGTTGTACTTAAATCTGCTTTATTGAAACGACTAGCATCAGGCTAGTGTCTTAGCCAGTAAAAACACCACCACGTGCAGCATGTGAGCCCGCACAGCACCGTGTGGGTCTGCCTCGTCAGAGCTCCCCGGTGCTCTGAAGCAGAGCCCATCTAATCCATCTAATCTCCCTGAAAATGATTAATAGGTATTCCAGTCTATGTTTTACTGGGAATTTTTATAGAGTTATACAGTGGTAAACTATACTATACCATTTTTGTTCAGCTTGTGAACTATTACTTATGATTTTTATTCGGCTTGGCAAGGTTGTATAGATTTAGTTCCGCTGTATAATTTGGATTTATTTCCCCCATCTTATTTCTTTTATGACAGCAGTGAAGGTCTGCAGCATAACCCCTGTTAAAATGTCCCATGTTTCCTTTTCATGTTCTCTCTTGATCATAATTATGCCTTGACAGTTTGTATTTGCCTAGAAGAGGTGCTGAAGAGCAGTAATGGAAAGTCTTCTCCAAGCTCGTTACCTTGACTCTAGTAGCAAGAAGCTAGAAACATCCCCCTGAACCTGTTTTTTTCCCTAGATTTCACAGGCACTGCTGTGAACTAGCTTGGCCTAATACCAAAAGCAGAGGCTTCAAAACAGTCACTTAAACTACGAAGGGGAAAGAAAAACCTCAGAGAAATGATTTCTTCCTCGAGAATGTTTTTAGCACTTTTTTTTTTTTTAATTGTCAGTGTGTTTTTGTTGGCAGTGATAATACTGACCTGAATCGAAAACTTGTCACTTCTTGAGTGGTCATGTGGTTTGAGTAGCTTTATTTACTCTAAAATGTGACAGGTTTGCAAAGCCTGTGTGGGCATGTGTGGGGAGCCTTTCCTTAGCCATCGGTACGAGAACATTATCCCTTCCCTCCTGCCAAGCCCTCCCAGCAAACTCCCCTCCCGGTACTGGGGGCTCCGGTGACCTTCCTGCAGTGGTTGGCCCGTACCTGCAATGTTTTATCACTGGGTAGAGACTTTCAGCTCAGGTATCTTGGGCATCCTTCCTACCCATAGGAAACCTAGCTCATTACACGTTAAGCCAAACAAAGTCTTAATGAACTTTCTTGTCTTGGTGACTTCCAAGTTCTCCAGAACAGCGTTTGTCCCCAGTTTGCTTCTCCCCTGAGTCTCCTCTGCAGCGGATGAAGCATCTCTGAGGTGTTCTCCTTTACACCTTGCTGCAATGATGACCATGTACAACTTTCTAGCACCCCCCAGTGCTGAAAAAGGCTGGATAAATTGAGGGGCTCGTCTAAAGGGCTTCAGCAAAGTCAACCTCAGAACCATGATGTGCTGTGCCAGATCTGTAGTGGTTTGAGCTTGAAAATTAATTTTTGGTTTTGTATTTGAATGATGCCCTTGTGTCTTACCCTCTTTTGAGCTCTGAAAGCATGTGCATGCAGCTGCTGACATTTTTGCTCTTTTTCTTTCATGTTTCTTTTTATATTTCCGATTTCTTTGCTATTCTCAGAGAAGTCAGTTTATTTAGGAAGCGCTGCCAGGCTCCTTCCTGGCTTCTCTTCCTTCCCAGAGGCACAACGGTGGTGTGGTTGGTTGCATCCCCATTCTCTCTGACTACTGGGATTTCTTCATTTTAGCCCATTGGCACAAGTTATGTAAGACAGATTTTTGTGGTTTATATAAAGAAGTTTTAAAGAGTTTCTACCATACGGAAAATGCAAAGATGGCACAGAGCGGTCCCTTGCGCTGCTGCTGTAGGTGAATGAACTGGTTCTGTCTTTTAGTCGTTGATGTGATGTCCTTGCTTTCAGAACAGTGAGCCCTTTCACTGACTCTCTTCACTCTACATTTTGAGCAACTACCAAATCTTTCAATTTTTAATATTTCATCTATTTGGAATGTAGAAATATGTGCTCATTAGCACACACAATACAGTACAAACATGGAAACTTTCTGCATGAACTTTGTCTTTGAAGGACACAAGCACACAGATTGTTCTGACATGCGATGCCCGTGGCTTTGCTAATGCTGTTGGGCTTTTTATAGTCTTCCCCCTCCGCTTTTGAAGCATGAAAGTAGTATCCCTCCCTGTCTACTTACTGCAGAATCCTAACTACATTTTTTTCTAGGTATACAGCTAAATCTTGTAAATACAGGTAAGGAAACACTGGAAGAGGTTGACTCAGTTTAAACCAGAGGCTTATACCAGCTCACCAATAATGTGGTTGCCCTAAGAGGGGGCACTTCGGCTTCATGTGATTTTTTTTTTTTTTTATAGGCTCAAATAAGGAAAACAAGTGAAAGTTTCACTGAGCTTGGCTGCTAGGCTTTGTGGCTTTCAGAGCAGAGATGTGATGTGCTTCTCTCCAAGGGAAAAGGCAGCCGTGTTCTGTCTCATTAATTCCAAAATAAGGGTAGCCCTTATGTGAGCAGATATAGCAAAGTGTCCAGCAATCTTGTTTATGAGCAGTAGTGTCTCACTTAGTCTCAACCTTGTACAAGTGGTATTGCTCCACTGAATTTACTTGCAACTATTTCTGATTCACAAGAGTTGTGGCAAGTGACCATTAATTTCAGTTCAAGTTTTTTTTTTCTGATGTAAAGCAATTCAGACTTTAGCTTGCTTGACATATTTTTCATCTAGAATGACTTTTTTGTTTGTTCTTATAAAAGAACTAAGCCCCTTATGAGTATATGCTTGTGGTATTGATCCTTTTCTTTTCAGCTTGTGCATGGTATTCCATAGTTTCTTGCCCAGAGTGCTTTTTAAATGTATTTAATTATATTGTAATTTTTTCATCAGACTTCCAGGCCCCACCACGAGGGTGTCCGCTGCAGGCAGTGAGGCCAAAGCTCGTGGTTCTATTAGTGCCAACAACCGACGCAGCCAGAGCTTTAACAATTACGACAAATCCAAGCCTGGACTTCCCCCTCCAACACCAACAAGTAGCAATGACAAAGGTAAGCACTTGAGATTTTGGCACCCTCAGGTTTTTCTTAATAGTGGCTTTGTTCAGGGGAAATGGAATTTTCCATTAAGCTTCAGAAGTTGTAAGACTCTTTCAAACTGTATGTTGTAAACATGACACTTAAAATCCAAAAACCAGCTGGCTTTTCTTGAGAAAGGTTTAGTCCTCCTTTAATATCAGTGAAGTTGTGACTTGCTGTCCTGAAGGTATATGCAAAAAATAGCTTCCAGAAAAACTGGCACTGGTGGAAATATTTTTTTTAATTTTGCTTCGAACACAGATAAGGGGGAGTGAATTAATCAAAAAATGAGATGTTTTGATGAGTAGTTTGACAGGAATGGAAAATGACCACTAAAGATTTCTTCAGTGTTTTTATATGATAAATAGTACCATTGGCTTTCCTTTCCTCCACTGTTGTGGAAGATTATTTAAGTTACAAAAATACATGATTTAAATCTAATTTCAGGAATCACATAGGGTTTAAAGGCAGGAACATGTTATAGTTTTATAAATGTTGCAGTGGAACTGTGCCTATGGCAGAGCATCAGAAATGCCAAGTATCCTGTTCTGTCTGAAGCGGTGCTTTTTAAAATGCCATTTACTGACTTTGTGTCCGTTCACTAAGCTGGTAATCTGCCAGCATTCATTAGCTTGAGTTTGTAGCTCTGAGCTCTATAATGCAGCATTTACCAGTGGAGTTCTGGGGGATGTGGCTGGTGAGAACTGAGCAAATCGCTCTAGTCTGATATGGTCAAATTGCTGGCGCAGGCTGGCAGCTAATTCTGTATCCTTAGCAAAGTCATTGCGCTTACGGAGATAGGTCAGCTTTGGGTTTCAGTGCGATCTTCTTGCAGTAGTGACTCGGCAGTCGCAGCCTTTAGGCTCAAGTCTCCTTGGCCATGTGTAACTTCTATTAACAGTAACGGGGATTTTGCTTGAGGGAACAATACTGGTCTGGTTCAACTTGCCTGTGGTTCTTATGATTGTATCTTTTCAGGAAATTGTGTTTTTTCCTTCTCTAGAAATTGTTGTCCTATGGCTGCATGTCATCAGATTTTGTAATGTTACCCCATCTAGCCATTACAGCCCAAAACCTCATCTTGTGATGATGGCAGTGGGGGGTCCTCAGCATCCTCCAGGGACATTCCACATCACCCCGATCAGGCCTTTTCTAAGAAGAAAATTAAATTCACAGCTGAATAATGCAAGTATTATAATTATAATATAATGTATTAGCATAAATTAGCAACATTCTACCATGCTAAAATCCATGCTTACAATCTTTACTATATAAACAGTAATGATTTAACGGTACCATCAGGATCTAGAGTCATTTCTAAATCTGAATTAGGTCTGGCTTTCAGTGAAAAGAACAAGCTGAGAAGTTATGGCATGAGCAGCAGAACTGATGAAGCCATGTTTTCCTGTGTAATACCTCTCCATTCTCCCTCTGCCTCCTCCTTGTCAATACTCTCCTCTTTTGTTCGTGTCCCATAACCACTGGACTGGGGAGACGCAGCGTGGGATGTGTCTGGTCCTGAAGCATGTGTTGGTTGGCCAGATGATCCCTGCCTGCGTATGGGTGGTGTGCTGTTAGGCTGCATTGAAGAGAGAACTTGAACTATCTTGGCTTTTTCTCAGTTTACCGAGATTACTAAATAAGGAAAATAAAGTACTGGTTTCAGTCTTAAAAAAAAAACAAGTCCTCACACATACAGAGAAATAACAATAATTTGTCAGCTGAGTAACTTAAATATCAACTGCTTTTAGGCAGGCAATTCTGTGGACCCTCATTCTTCATTGTAATCCATCTCTTCAGAAAGATAAACTGGTTGCTGAAGAAGCATGTGAGATCATCTGCTTCCTATGAATATTACAAATGATTGAAAGAAACAAGGTTGGTTTTTAGGTTGACAGCCTACATAAGTTGCATTGAACACTCAGAATTTTGCTCTGGTCAAAATTTCCAGTCATAAATTATGGCCTTCAAAAAAAAAAAAAAAAAAAAGAGGACTTATGTAAGTTGAACTTGAACTTAAAAGTATAATCATGACACAAAGTTGGTCTGCATCCATGAGAAACAAAAGCAGTTGGTCTGACAAATTTTTGGCTTATTTTAAGTTAATTGTAACGTTGCCAGACAAAGTTTATTGTCACAGTGCTAAGACAATTCAAGTTTTCTGACCCATATCCTGTATTTTGCCTAAGGAAATGAGACTGTACATGACCGTGGTGTGTGCCAGCCTTGGTAAGTTTTCATCACTTTGCCCACTACACCTCTGTTGCACGTTTTTGGAGAAGGAAATAGGGTGAAGGGAAATCTGCCTGCTTTGGCAGACTTTTTTGGCACAAGTAGTCGCTTTGTGAGAGAAGGTAGCCTTCAGTGTATTGTATTTGAATCATTTCTTACAAAGTAGGTTTTAATTTTCAGCTTTTATTAATCTGTGGTCTTTCCTCCAAATGTGAATTGTCTCGTTAGTCAATCGTCCGTGTCTTGTGGCAATGAAAATGCATTAATTGAAACAGAATACATCAGAAATGAAAAGGACAGTAAATGGAGCACGGAGGAATAGCTAGCTACTGCAAAATAAATAACCTAGATTTTTTTGAAAGCTTCTGCTAGTCTATTAATGATGAGACCCCTGGTTTTCTAGAAATCTTGGGGAAAGGATTTATATAACATCGAAAACGATTACACTGTTGCATAAAAATAAGAGATTCTTGGATGTATCCATGCGTTTGTTGTGAGATGTGTATGTACTCTTAGCAAAGGAGATACAATTCTCACCTCCCCACAGCTTACATTGTGTCTTCAGTATTTTATTTTGCTTTCTCAGTCTTCACATGCTGTCTGAAACCAGTTTCAAGATGTGGAGAAGAGACAGACCTTCTCTAGCAGGGATTACATTTGCCCTGCTGACACAGCTCAAGTACAGAGGGTGGCATAGAGACAGAGGGAAGTATGGGGACCTGCAGATCCCAGAGAGACAGGATCTCAGTGCAGTGACAATTTGGCGTAAATTGGACCTGTATGAAGCCAGCAGTAAGGGGCTAATGTTACTTGAGTCCAGCTCTGAGCTCTGGCAGGTATAAAATTACCACACTTTGATACCTTTAAATATTATTTCCTTTTGAATTTTTTATTAAGGATAGACTAGTTAAATAGGAAGAGATATTAAGGTGTTTCAAATGACAGTTAGGGAATTTCTTTCCTATAACTTTTTAACTTGGTGTTAGCAAAATAGGAATGAGTACCAAGTAAGTAAAATATTAGCAGGGAAATGTAACCTCCGCTCCACTGAGCAAATCAGTCTTATTGGCGTATGGTTACCTATGCGAAATGTGTGCTAAAAATGAGTGCACTTTGTATGTAAGCAGTTATATTTATCGGTACAGCTCAAGAGGGCATGGCATGTTTTGACATAGCTTTAGTAGGAATGATTCTTTGAAGCTAAATCAATAGAGCTGCAATGAGATTTTCACAAGTAGACATACAGGAATCCACGTGGTACTGATTCCTGGAGGGGCACTGCTCAGGTCACTGGAGGATTCTCTAGTGTGCTTGTACATCCCTGTTGTCTGAATTAGCAGACATCAATTTAAAATAAAAAAGAAAAAAAAAAAGTGATTGTCCAGAGTTTGTTTACAAGGCAGTCTTTTACTTTACTGATGCTCATGCAAACCACAGTTTTTCATGTCAGCTTTACTGTGAAATAAATATTTTTTAAAATTTATTTAAATGTCCTCTTGTGTAAAGAGTAGAAAATCCTAGATCTGGAACTGAACCACTTTAAATTTCACCTCCTAATCTCTCAAATGTTTCGTATTAAATCCTGCTTTGGTATAAAAAGTACGTAGGAATATGCTCTTGCGGCTTGGTTCTATGTGATAGTGAGCTTGTTGAACTCAGCGTCGTTTAAGGTCATTTAAAAGTGGCAGATATGGATTACATCAAACCCTCAGATTCAATTTTAAAATGCTGCTTTAGAAATAGAGAAACTCTTGTCCTTAGACATTGAGATCAAAATTCGTCATTCTTGTGGGTAGTATCTTGAAGGCTAAAATTTTCAGCAGTGTTAGGCTTTGGAAAAGAGGGATGCTAATAAAGCAGAAGAGCTCTACATAATTAGAGGTTTGGGAAAACTCCTTTGCAGCTAGGTATTTAAAAGGTTAATTTATGTTCTTTGCCTGAAAGAAAGGTTAGCTACAAGATACCTGTAGGGAGTGAGATTTATAGTAATAAGGATTCTTTGTTATCTCCATAGATAGCATATGAGTGTCCATTAGTTTGGAATTTGAAATTAGCCCAATTCAGCCCACAAACTGGATACTTTTAAGAATGAGGATGATTAGCCATTGAAAGAGATTAAATTGGACATACTGAGTAAAATTGTAATACTTTCCCAGAGCTGATGTTGAGACAGAGGTTACAGTTTTGGCTCAGAAATTTCTAAGCAAAATTCTTCAAACCACGTTATCTTTAAGATCAACTCCAATGATTCTAGTAGTTTTCTTGAATCAAAAATCTTTCTTTAAGTGCATGAAAATGGAGGACAAGCCCTCTTCTATAGCTGCACATAAAAATCAGATGAAATGTTTGATGTTCTGAATTGACTGGGTTTGGCTCCTTTACCAAGTACAGGATGGTCAAGTGAAGTTGCACAAGCTTCCTCACTGGCACCCTTATGATCTGCTGAAC